TCTCATTAACCAGAAAGGGATATTGGTCGACCCCGCCAAAATTTAGGCGGTAATGGGTTGGGAGGTGCCGAGGTCGCCCACGGAGATCAGGAGTTTTCTAGGGCTGGCAGGCTATTATCGGAGATTCATCAGGGATTTCTCCAAGATCATCGTGCCACTCACCAAGTTGAACCAGAAGGGTGTAGTTTTTGCTTGGGGTCCAGAGCAGCAGGCCTCCTTCGAGACACTTCGCCAGAGATTATGCGAAGCCCCGGTGTTAGCCCTTCCGGAGGGAATGGAGGATTTTGTGGTATATTGTGATAGCACATGCATCAAGGCAGCTAAAGCCTCATGAGGTGAGGTATCCTACCCATGATTTGGAGTTGGGGGAGTGGTGTTCGCCCTCAAGATCTGGCATCACTATTTATATGGGGTCTGGTGTACCATATACACGGATCACAAGAGCCTGAAGTACTTGATGGATCAGCCCAACCTGAATATGCGGCAGAGGAGATGGCTGAATGTGGTAAAGGATTATGATTGCGAGATCCTGTACCACCCGGGAAAAGCCAATGTGGTGGCCGATGCCTTGAGTCATAGGACGGAGAGTGTTCCGATGCGTGACATTTGTATGAGGTTGACGGTGATGACTCCGGTGTTGGACACCATTCGAGGAGCTCAGGCCGAGGCCGTTAGGCCAGAAAAACCAGAAGAGAGAGCGGCTTGTTGGGCAAGTATTAGAGTTCGTCACCGATGGTCGGGGGCTTATGACATTTATGGGTCGGATCTGGGTACCGCATGTGGGCGGAACGCGTACCCTTCTGATGAAAGAGGCTCACCGATCGAAGTTCTCGATCCATCCCGGGGCCACTAAGATGTATTTGGACCTGAAAAGGGAGTATTGGTGGCCCTATATAAAGAGGGACATTGCATGGTTCGTGGAGAGGTGTCTGACATGTCGCAAGGTTAAGGCCGAGCATTAGAGACCTCACGGCAAGTTGCAGCCAAGGTTCTAAAAGGCGTGAGGCGTGGCGTGGCGGCAATGCCAAGCCTCAAGCTTAATGAGTTATGACGAGCCATGGCATTTTTCAAGGTGTGATGTAAGGCGGCGATTTTGTATTAATTTATAATTATATTACCGCATAAATATAAATTTATATCAAATATACCTAGTTTTTAGAAGTGTTATATCAATAACTAATAACAGAAGGTTAATAAAAAACACAATACTTGTATGTCCGATTAGAAAAGGTATAAAAAAGAGCAAAAAAACGTGTCTCAAACGAAAAAACACGTGCCATAACACGCCATAACGCGCCATGGCACGCCATATCATGCCTTGCCACGTGCCACGCCTAACAGCAACGTTATGAAGCTTTTCGTAACGGCGGTGCCGCACCTCACGCCATGTCGCGCCTTTTAGAACACTGTTTGCAGCCGTTGGAGATTCCCGAGTGGAAGTGGGAACAGATTTCCATGGACTTTATCACCAAATTTCTAAGGACTGCGAGGGGCGTCGATGCAATTTGGGTGATTGTAGATCGATTGACGAAGAGCGCTCATTTCCTCGCTATTAGCGAGAGCTCTTCTGCGGAGAAGTTGGCGGAGATGTATGTGAGAGAAGTGGTAGCACGTCATGGAGTGCCGATCTCGATTGTCTCAGACCGAGATGTGCGTTTCACCTCTAGATTCTGGAAGAAATTCCATGAGGAATTGGGTACTAGACTGCATTTCAGTACCACGTACCACCCCCAGACCGACGGACAGAGTGAGCGGATGATTCAGACGCTTGAGGATATGCTCCGGGCATGTGTGTTGGATTTAAGTGGGAGTTGGGACACGTACTTACCCTTGGTGGAATTTTCCTACAACAAAAGCCATCATTTGAGCATTGGTATGCCACCCTTTGAGCTGTTGTATGGGAGGAGGTGTCGGACCCCCATTTGTTGGGGAGAAGTGGGGCAACGTGTGATGGGTAGTACGGAGATAGTGCTTCAGACGTCTGAGCAGATCTAGCAGCTCAGGCAGAGGTTGTTGACCGCTCAGAGTCGCTAAAAGAGTTATGCTGATAGGCGATGATCCGAGCTCAAATTTCAGGTCGGTGATTTGGTGCTTCTGAAGGTATCTCCTTGGAAAGGAGTGATCCGATTCAGAAAGAGGGGCAAGCTGGGCCCCCGGTATATTGGGTCGTTTAAAGTGATCGCGAGGGTGGGCAGGGTTGCGTATCGCTTGGAGGTACCTGCAGAGTTGGGTCAGATTCATGACACTTTCCACGTATCGCGGTTGCGGAAGTGTATAGCAGATGAGTCGGCAGTGGTGCCATTGGAGGACATTCAGGTGGATGCGAGCCTGAATTATGCTGAGAGACCGGTGGCGATCAGGGATCGGAAGATCAAGGTTTTGAGGAATAAGGAAGTGCCTCTGGTTTTGGTTCAGTGGCAGCATCGGAAGGGGTTCGAGCTGACTTGGGAGCTAGAGCGTGAGATGCGTGAGCAGCATCTAGAGTTATTTCCAGAGTGAGACTTCGAGGGCGAAGTTCGATTCTAGTGGGGGAGAATTGTAACAGACGGGTTTCCAGGTATATTATTTTATTTAATTATTTTGAATTATGAGAAGGAACTCGACGAGTTGATGCGTAGACTCGCCGAGTAGGGTCGTGATTATTCATCCAGATTCGCTTTGGACTCGGCGAGTCCACGCTGTTTAATGAAACCCTAAATCCCAAGGTTTAGAGCCTATTTAAGGGCACTTATAGCCTCTCATTGCGGCTACCAATCCCTTGAGAGAACCCTAAGTGAGCCAAATCGTTGTGACGAAGAAGAAGTCACTTTTGATCCTTGTATCTTTAGTTTAGCAAGAAGGAGGTGCAAGAGCAAGAGTGGAGGTGCGATTCTAGCAGTTCCAAGGATTCAGAGACTTCATTTTGAGGTAATAGTTCGAACCTTCTTCAGTTTTGTTGTTGATCATTAGAGTTAGGGTTTTCTAACCCCTTTGGAGAGTGATTATGCGGAGCAAATGGTCCCTCTTCAAGTTTGTGCCTTGGATCTGGACTCAAAGAGGTCCAGAGACCTTAACCCTTGGAGCTTTATGGATCAATTTGGGGTTATTGGACTTAGGTTGCCACTTTTGGGACTAAATCTCCTTTTGATGCCTTGTTGTTGTTATACAAGCATCAAGTTTCGAGCTTTACGTGACGCTCATGCTTGGGAAGGCCAGATCTTTGATTTAGAGAAACAGATATGACCTCAGGAGGCCAGTAGAGTTTGTGCATGGCATGAACTCACCAAGTTGTTCCTGAGACTCGGCGAGTAGGGTTAGGGTTTCACGTAAATTGCTCAGTGAGTAGACTTGCTGAGTTGGGGGATGACTTAGTGAGTCAGAAGGGAGTTAGAGGACTGGAGTTCAAGGCGGTACTCGCCGAGTTGTTCTTGAGACTCAGCGAGTTGAGTTTTGGTGGGCCCGCGATTCATGCCTAGTATGACTTGTCAAGCATAGGGAGGGACTCGGTGTGCCAAGCGGGACAAAGTGTTAAAGAACATGTGTGAACTCGCCGAGCCACCAGGGTGCACTCGGCGAGTAGGGTCAAAGTGTGACCGTTGACTTTTAGGGTTTGGTCAATGGAGTACTTGTGTCGAGAGGGGGGTAAAATAGCCTTTTTCCCTCTAGAGGGTGCCAAAGGCAGGCTGAGTCTAGTCTTGAGAATTATATTTATAAGAGTATTTACTTTATGTGAATAGGCGAATACTAGGCAATATTCCTACCGAGTCAGAGATTTACCAAGACGTCTGAGGTGAACCTTCTCACTATACTTTACCTAGTGTGGTAACAGAGTTATGTGATAGAGTATTTTTAGAGTTATATTCCAGTGTAATTGCATGTTATTTATGTGCTATGATTTATTGTGATATGTGCTATGTATGATTCAGAGTTACAGAGTTAGGACCTTCGGGTCTACAGAGTTAGGACTTTCGGGTCCACAGAGTTAGGGCCAGAGGGCCCATAGAGAGTTGGGGATGGAGGGCCCCACTGAGACACATAGACCTGAGGGTCAACAGAGCTACAGCCTCGAGTGGCTATTATGTTTTAGAGTGGTATTTTGGGGAACTCACTAAGCATTTATGCTTACAGTGTTATGTGTTATGTGTTTCAGGTACCAGCGATGATCGCGGGAAGGCGCCGGCATGATTCGTACACACGCATACCGGAGTTTATATATATATATTTTGATCTTGGGTTTTGTATTGATACAATGTTGATATAATGATTTGTTTATGATTTCAAATGATATTTTATGGTTTACAAAAGTGAAAAATTGTTCAAGTTTTTACGGTGTTACACGGCTGGTCCAACAAATGGTACATCTCCATGGACGACAACAGAGGTGTTGGTCCTAACACGATGTTGGATTATCATTTACGAGGGTCTACCGGTAATGGCTCCCCTTAATTTCCTTGTTGGTGATGAATGGTCCCGCTTAGTAGCTTTGTTCAGCTATAAGGTGGGACAAGGACAAGAACGACTAAAACCCGATATTGTTATTAAATTGATGAATTTAAAGACAAAAGTCGCATGGTTCAATCGATGCTACAATTATGAGAAAACGCGATGCTCTGATGTTGATGATGACAAACTTCTTGAATACGTGAACGGATATTACCTGTGCCAGTTTGATGAAACTTATTTCGAGTATACAGACGTTTGGAATCTGGTTAAAAATAAACCATTTTTTCATGTAACCAAGTCTTTTATTCGTAATGTTTTATGTAATGTTTGTCAGTTGTTCATCTTTTATTTGTAATGTTAAGTGTAATGCTATTATGTTATTTCTAGTGTTTATTTTGTTTAAATGTATCGTAATATATGTTGGTGAATTATGTTTCAAAAAATATAGGATAAAACACATATTTATATTAAACAAAATAACTTATATAGTAGGGCCTATATAGTATCCCAAATATTTAATATTAATATATATACAAAGTTCCTAATATCAACTTATATAGTAGGGCCTATATAGTATCTCAAATAATATTTGTCATCTTATGTCTGTAAAGAAATACCGCATCTCTATGTGCCATAGAAATCTTCACTGGTACCCCTGAAACAATCATTTCCATAAACATGCATACAAATACTCCACAATCCCCTCTATCAAGACTATATTCTTGTTGTGGCGCGTCTACAACATCAATAAACTCCACCTTTGCTTTGTCTTTGTGTCCAATGGGGAAATCATTCCAGTACTTAATGGCATCTAACTCTGAGATAATACTATCTCCAAAACTTTTGAATTCTCCACCAGTTAAGTATTGTGAGAAGTAATCCATAGGTCGTGTTGAATCATAAATATCTACTTTTTAGGTATCTAAATGTAGCACCGCCATAAACTAATGGGCACCAACAACATTTATTACGAATAGAACCTGCAAAAAAAAAAAGTTAAATTAAATAGTAGTAATTTCAGTAATATTTTATATATATATATATATATATATATATATATATATATATATATATATATATAAATTAAGAATTATTAAAGTTAACGCACCATATCCACATCCTTCCATTTAGAACGACCTTCAAGCTCACTTGCTATATTCCTAAATAAAAATGATTTTCTGAGTTCCAAATTGATTTCTTGAGGAAATATCGTCCACTTTGCGCTCGTCGGCCGCCTGTCCATCAACAAGGAACTCCATATCGCAATATAATGTACATTTAAAATTAAAAATGCTAGAATTATTTATATAAATTCTTGTCTAAAAAACTAGTTAAAAATTTAATTAAATGAATGTTACCGATGAAATTAACCATCCTTGGTGAGTAACAACAAGTAACCTCGACCAAAAATCTATATCCAGTGGGAGCATATGCAGCCTATGTTTAGTGATGAATTTAGAAGAGATCATACTCCATTCTTTCCAAAAACTCATCGTGCTAGTAGCATAAATACTATCCAACAAGAGATGGTTTGAAACATCACTAGTCTCTGCATTGACAATGTCCTCATTTGGTTTTTCAGGACTCTCTATTATTTTTTTTCTTCCTTGTTTTGCTGATTTTTTTCACTTTTGGTGTCGATTGCATTTAAAAAATTAACATGTTAAATCATTATCAATAATGTAATATTTTATAAATATACCAAATTTAAAATATGAGTTTTGTACCACTGTGAACGAAGTCCGCTGATACCATGCAACAACCCTCTTTCGTTGCGCCCTACCAATAGGAGTCACTATTTTTGAGTGATGTTCCCCACGGTCCGATGACGGCTCACCATGCGTAGTTGTACACCCAACTTCCCCCTCAAGACCACCATATTCGAACTGTGTACTATGTTAATATGCGTCTTCCTCATCTTCATTTATCATCTCGTCCTCCACCTCCTTTACAAAACGTGTGTTTGGCTCATCTTTTTTTTGTAATACACGATCTACTTTAAAAGATAAGTCAGCCACAACGCCTACTATACGCTTCACTAATGTCTTTGTGCTAGTCTTCTTCTTCTTTACCACCTTCGTTGATGTGTCGCTTGACATATAAGTTCTTTCTATTTCAGGAGGTTGCGAGGAAGAAGCATTTGTGTCAGATTCAGTCGAACATGTTTCCGACTTGTACATATTTCTTCGACGAGGCGAGGCAACAACAGGTGGACTATTTCGGACCGGACTATGTTCCCGTGGAGGAGACTCTTCATGGTTAAGAGTCCAATTGACATAGCGAACATAAAACGACGACATCAGCTCCGTCGCGTCTGCAACGACTCGAATAGGTTCGTTGTTAGGCTACAAAAATTAAAATCAAATTGTTAGTTTATAATGAAAATACATTGGAATTTGTAAGTATAAATAATCCTTAATATAAAAGCATACCACAGCCACAGTTATCCCAGGATAACGGTGTTTTATTCTCCACTACCTCATCCGTGACAATTCTGTCTGCATGCGTATATAAAAATTGGTTGCCTCGGGGAACGTCTCCAAAATCCATATCTATATAAAAAAAATGTAAGTATTATGCTATTATAGTATAAAAATCATAATACAACGATATTTTATACTACAAACCGAAGTTTAATGTTTTTATCGTATAAAAACAAGACTATGATAACTATTTAAATGTGTTAGAAACTAACCTTAAACTATGATAATTATTTTATACTACAAACCGAAGTTCAATGTTTTTATCGTATAAAAACAAAACTATGATAACTATTTAAATGTATTAGAAACTAACCTTAAACGGAAGCATAAAACCAGAAACGGTATACTTGTGTATTTTCTTGGCTTCGGGATTGGCCTGCTTCAATATTCTAAATTCTTCTATTTTCTTAAACATTCCACGCAACATCCGCGAAGTATAGGTCCAAAAATACGTAACCATGCAAACCTGCAATTTTCAATTTATTATTATGGTATTGTATTTGTACACAATATTTAAATGTAATATCTGTTCCAATCATCTCTATTATCAGCAATCTAAATTCTTCTATTTTCTTAAACATTCCACGCAACATCCGCGAAGTATAGGTCCAATAATACGTAACCATACAAACCTGCGATTTTCAATTTATTATTATGGTATTGTATTTGTACACAATATTTAAATGTAATATCTGTTCCAATCATCTCTATTATCAGCAAGCTTGTATACTGCAGCGGGAATGCACGTTTTAACATCCCGTCCATGGAGTCCTTCAACATAAAAACAAGCTAGATAAGCATCACAACATCTTCATCTTGAACTGCCAAATAATTCGGAGACATAATGAAGTCTTCCAAATCTTTCAACCGCAAACGTGCATAAAAAATGTCTGGGAACAACCGAGCACGAAGATTTGAATATGACCGACCTTTTTCATCGTGGAGTAAATCCACATAAGGACCAACTTTTAAACCACAAATGAGAATATATTCAGTTTCACCAAAATCCAAATGCGTCCCCTGTATATCAAAAAGAAACCTCCTCATTTCAAATACTTGTTGACACCTTACTTCGTGCAACATCATCAAATGCACAAGTAACGGATCACCTTGTGAGATATGCATTCCTAAGAATACTCCGAACGGCAGAGCTTCGAATAATTGTCGTTGTGATTGTGTTAGGCGCGAAAAATAGTTTTTAATGATAGTACCAACCACACATTTTATTAAAGTTAAATCCGTTTTTTGATTCAGATCTTCGTGCTGCAAAACATAACATTTAATCTCATATAAATAGTCAGAAAATACATCACTCCGTAAGGGTACTCTGCGGATTGACGTAACCCTCTGCAGAGTGACATACACCTCCGCAGAGTGGATCACACCCAATTCGATACCTGCCAACGGAAATTTCATCTAAATCTGTCTATTTTACCGATATTTTTCATTTAATCAAATAAGTTTCGACAAATATCATACATATACTATATTAATCCAAAGAAAGGATGGTGAGAAATACCCGGGAACTAAATCCGTCGGCCAAAATATCGGGTTGATTGCCCTCCATAACTGCCGGAATTGAAGTCGTATGTCGCCCGAATTGAAATCGTACGTTGAAATTTAAGTCGTAAGTCTCTGGAAAATGATGTTGTTTGATGTCGTTGTCGTCAGATTTGAAGTCGTAAGTCGCCGGAATCGCCGATGCGGAGGAATATGTTTGTCAAAGAGGATTTCGGGGGACTAGTGTGTGTGTGTGTGTGGGTTGGGGGGGGGGGGGGGGGCAAAGAGGAATGTTCGATTTTATGAAAGAGAAGAGGGTGAAATGACAAAAATAGCCCTGTCCGCAAAGGAATCTTTGATCCGCGTAGGACCCTCCACGGAATCCATGTCTATAACTGGACAACTCAATTTTTATGTTCAAATTTGAAATTGTCTCCGATTTTTTATCTATTAGCAGTATTTTCCCTTTAAAAATCATGGAGTATCAAGTTATGCTTTGATAACTGTGTTAACTAAAGATAAATTGGATTTGTATGTAGATGTATAAACAAGAACTTTAACAAAACAATATTTTAGGTGCAATCGTACTCGTATGAAAACATATATCCGCAAAGAGGTGCAAAGATGGACAGCTTTGGATTGAACCTCGAGTGTCCATAGCAACCTATCAACGTGTCACCCTGACCCAACCTTTTTCTAACATAAACTTACAGAAAAACACATTTCCCGATTGTTTTGCCACCTTTAACAATATTCAAACACTTTAGTTACATAATATATCGAATCAAATGTTATTTATTTTTTTTAGATAGAAAAACATAGCGACTTTATAATAAACTTACCAACTATAACTACTATTTCAATTCTGTCCTCTACTAAACCAATTCACTCTATCATAACATGAATGTCCATTCAACCTTTCAATTTCAGAAAAAGAAAAACTTAATTTTGAGTCGAAAGATTACCATACCTTGACCAAAGAAAGTAGAACCGATTATTTTTGTGACAACTTCAAAAGATTTGTATAAATCCAAAATATAAATGGGTTCATGGATTTACAAAATTTACTAATGAATATTGATGTATTTATTTGTACTTCTCCATGATTCTCCTTGCTTCTTCAAGGCTTTCTTCTGTTGAAGTGGTGGTGGTGCTTCCGCCACCTGTGGGGCCCTCATCTTTGTTCAACGCGATAAACACAAAGTAAATCAATCCCATTGTAGTCTGTTTCATATATAAATATCACAAGTCACAACATGATTAACATAACGATAATTTAAATCTAGTAATTAAGAAAATTAAGCATATGGTATTTAATTATGGGTGGAAATATACCAGAAAAAAGAAAGCTGTGGACAAGAATGACTTGAGTAGAAATAGTACAACAGCTGCTCCAATTACACCCACAGATATCCTAGCAATTGGTCTTGGTATAGAATCCTATAAAAATGATAGTTTGTTGTATAATTTAATGAAAAATATTAAATTAAATAAGTACATGACTTCTTGAATATTAAAAGATATACAAAGTAGAAAGAAGACAACTTACAGGCACTAAATTTGTTCCTGCTTCAATTCCATCTTTTCCTACCTTATATGCTTTTTGAAGCACTTAATCACCAACATATCAACATAAAAGTTAGCACAAAATCATATTTAATAACTTTTACTGACTAATTAAAACATTATGTATATTTCAATATAAAGTCTGCATTAAATTATTGTACTATTAAACACGTCTATTACACAACATGCAAATAACGTCTTTGCTAATAAAAACATGTACAATGAATTCTTATTTTTATGTAATGAGTAAATTAGTTTCCTGAATTCCTCTAATGCATCAAAATATATTGACATATAGTATCCAGCATAAAGCACTCATTTCTCAGTCCCTTAGGTTTACATTCAAGTCCAATTCCCCAAATATCCATAGTGTGATCAACTGAAAATTACAATTTAAACTCCAGTGCTATGAATATGTGCAAAAACTAATACGTACTTAGTTAATATAATCCTTTCACTGTGACTTCAATGATGGAAAATGTTTGGGTATGTATCACTCAAATGTCCAGGAAATCCAGTTTTATTGGCGCCAAGTTGATGGAGATTGTTTGGCTATCACTAAAAATGCCTAATATACCTTTCAATTTTAAGGTTTCTGTAAAATCATCAATCCATAACACTGCAAGTAATTTGGTTTCAAACTTTCGAAAATGATTTCAAACGACATCTAAAAAGCCAACAGTAGAAGAGAGGGCAATATGTTTTAGGCAAAATTCTTTCTAACTGATAAGATATGGAAGAGTGGAAATCTCAATCCCTATTACAAATCGTCCATACATACCACCAATCGAAATGAAAGATACCAGACGATTTCATAATTTCATATGTACAATCAGAAAACAAACAAATTACGTTCTACCAGACCAGGGTTCGAAACTGAATTTACGAAATACCTCTGAAAAAATTTGATTGTGCTGCGTAGATTCGAGACCTGAGCTTTCTATTTTGAACAACTGGAATCACAGACCGCTTCTTCGACTTCAAAAGCGATTGGCATGGTAACCGAGAGCTGAAAGCTAGGGTTTTAGATTTGTAACTGTATGATCTTGATGAATAGTATACTGGGGTGCATAGAGTATGAAAATTAAACGTAGAAGCCATGAAATTTTGTGAAGTAATTTATGAATGTTCAATAGTCGATACTCTTATCAGAATCACATATTAGTGTGAATGCGCGTGTCTTGGCGGAAGAGATTATAGTTGCGGGAGGAAGATGGCTAGAAGAGTGGGCTTAATTTTGGGGCTTAGAATTATGACACTTTTACTTCGGCCTACTAAATATGGCCAATGGGCCATATATTTCCTAAAGTGTTGTAGCCAAAAAGGCACAAATATATTGATGATATGATTTATATGAATATCATTATTATATACAAAAACTTTTAATTTTAAGGTTTTCACGTGCACTTCACGTATCGGCGCGTCTGCTCCGGTGCGTATACTTCACGGATATTTTTATAGAGCTCAAAGGCATCATCACCATTCCTTTTCATGATTTCCAATACACATTTCGGCAACCTTTGGATCCCTAACACAGTTTCACAGCGCTTCCACTTTTTTACTTTTCCAAGCAACCATCATTCAATTCCTGTGCACACCCTTTCTCTTTCCATCTTCCCTCTCAATTCTTTCTCCTTCCGTCGTCTTCTTTTTCTTGCAAACACTTGGACCTTCATTCAAACATCGATTGAATTGCGCTTGAATTTATGGTTCATCGATTACAAACTGTAGAAGGTAAACGATTATCTCCTAAGGGTTGTTCTGTTTCCCAACATTATAAATTGTTTTCCATTCCACTCTTCTTCATCTAATCTCCATTCTCCCAATCTCTTTTCGTCTTATAATTAAGGTCAACTTTGTTTTCTTTACCAAGGTTAATTTTTTTTATACCTAATTCAATTTTTTTAGATCAATTGTTTGTGTGTATGTCTGTATGAGCCCTATTTGAATGCTTATTCAGTGACTTGGACAACACATACTTCTTTTTCATTCCACCTGCATTTTTTAATCTTAAAAAGGAATATATTTTTCTTACTTTTTCTTGGTTTGTGGGTTTTTTGTTCTTATTTGGGGTTTCATTATGCATCATGGTTAGGGGTTTTAAGGGCTTCTTCGATCATGAAAGAAAATTATTTTTAATGTCATTGACTTTTTTAATATTGTGGATGTTTATGATTTGCATCAGGTCCGTCACTGTTATTTATGGCAAAAAATAATAACTTCATTCTTTTTTTAATATTGTATGTTCTAAGCAGATGTTTATACATGTCTATTGCCCTCTGCCTTATATGTTATCGTTTTTACATGTTTGTCTTTGATTAGTGATACATTAATATTCACCATAGAAGTCAAGGCCGCTCATTCTTGCATTTTCATTTTCATATTTCCCCGAGTAATAAACCACACTCTAAAGCTTCTCAACAGTAAGCTATAATTTGCTTTTGTGATTGTTAAACCTTAAACAAAGGTACGTATTCTGCATTTTCATGTCATGATTTCTAGGATATTAGCCAACTAGCTTTGACAATAATAATTCCCCCAATTTATGAATAATGTACATACCATAAACACAAAGAACCTTTCAATAAGAACAGAAAATTAACATAACAAGTTATGTTTACAATTTTTTTTTACATATTTCCATTTTTATTTTTAGGCTATTATTAGACTTTAGCTTTAATAATTCTATTTTTAGGATTTCATATAATTGGAACACCAATGTTTTTTAATATGTTTTTGCCAATATTATTTTCAATAAGTTTTTAACTAATATATCTTAAAACAGGTGACAAGGGTAACAACGTTATCTTTGGGTTCCATCTTGCCCATTTTAAAAATACCTTCGAACCGTACAGACCTACTCCATTTCAAACACAAATTTGATCAAAGCACGAACCCGATTCCTCGTAAGCTCATACCCACACGCCTGGTCACTGAATAAACTGACGCTCGCTGAGCCTCATCCTGAGACCGACTCACCCGTGCTTCGATGTTACTTTGAGTTTACTCCATTCAGCCAACTCTATAGATTAGTAGATGAAGAAAATTATTAGAGTAAGACTATAGTTTCAACCATCAGCTTTTAATAACTATTAGTATATTTTTTTTCACAAATAAACTTATATATATATATATATATATATATATATATATATATATATATATATATATTCCTAAAAACACATGTGTACGAGTTGTCGTTGTCAGATGCCTCCCAAACGAACAAGGGGAAGACCTATCAAATTGTTTCTCAAGAAGAGATATTGTTATTGTAAATGAGGAGTATGTAAATGTATCACAAACTTTCTCCAAAGACAAGACTTTACAGTTGTGAATTGAAACTATAATATGATATTTTATATTCATTAATATCTATCATATAGGAAGAATGTTATGATACTTACATTGTAGGGCTCTCTTGATTAAAAAAGAAGGTCGTGAATTGGAGCTTAAGATTGATGATGTACCCATGATTTTTGCAATGTGGTTTAAAGTCACCACTTTTTATGGTCAGCTTATGTTCACTTATTCAACAATTATCTACATACATAGCCATATACATATACTTGCACTCATATTTATTCTTCAAATACCTACAAGACTTTCACTGTCAACAAAAGGGGCATCAATAATCCTTATTAACCCACCGTTCACAGCAGAGCTGCATCTCAAAGCATGGTATTTTCCAACTAAAATTTTTTTTAAAATGAAAGCTACAACTGTTTATACTACAACTCACACATGTTTATACACAACAGGTATAACGAGAATAGAATTGAGATACAAGAATTACTTAACAAAGAGTCATACAAGGATGTTGATCGCCTGCTGCCATACCCACAAGAACCGAACATCCTTCCGATAGCTAAAGCAATAGAAAGACTGAAAAGTGTTCGTAAATATACCAACCTTATGATATTGTTTACTGTCTTCTTTTCTCTAATAAAAATAAACTTATGAACCTACTAAGAAATTGAGTATATCATAGCTGACCGCACCATGGGCTAGATTCATGTATTTTATTATGTCAAACAGGGTAAACCAACATGGATGTGAGGGAATCTAAGATTACAACATGAAGACAATACCTTCACACATAGAGTATGTTCAAATTACTTAAAATCAATTGGAGTAGATGCCACATGGATCATAACATGTAACTTTGTAAGAAAGAATTAGAGGTTGAGATAAGGATAAGTTTCTTATAAATTATTAATTACATATTCGATTAAACTTTTACTATATGAACTGACTACTTAACCAAAAAACAGGGAATAAATATTTATAATATCATTTCATCATCTATTGACAAATCATCAGTTGTCGTATTTGTACGATCGTACACAACCTCGCACCAAAGGAAATCCACAACAAGATATGTCATTGTGAAGGCACATAAAACAAAAGACAACAACCTTATCGAAGGAAGTGGTGCTCAAGAAACTGATAACACAAACCAGATAATTAGGAAATAGCGACAATTACTCAACCTACCATTCTGAAGCCATGCTCAACTAAACAAGTAGCAATTAAGGTAGAATGTTATGAAAAGAGTCAGAAGGAGACCCAACTACACGTGCAACCGTTGAAGGAAATCATAGGTGCAGTAACTCATATTACAGAAACAGATCAACATAAACCAGAAGAGAAGGAAATAGTGACAATCACTTCTGCTACCATTCTTAAGCCACACGAGATCAAACAAGAAGCACTTAAACCAGCATCTAATCAACAGACGCAAAAATGTTCCAAGTCAGAATTCCATCCACTTAAGGAAATTAATGGTTCAACAGTTGGTGCACGAAAGCCAACTAAAAGAACCAAATAAGAATCAATCCTACAAAAAGAATCACCAATCTTTTATGTTTTGAAAAAAACATATAGATATGGAATGGAATGAAGAAGAATCACCAATCTTTTGCGTTTTGAAAAAATCAAGTAGATATGGAATGGAAAGAACAAGAAGATTCCTTAATATTTTGTGTTTTGAAAACACCATGTAGATATGGAATGGAATGAACTGCTTCGACAAAGCTGTTATAGGACAACACTGCATACTTGAAAGTCCTTCAAATTTTCACCTCTTTTGGAAGTTAGAAATCAATGAACACTTTTTGTCAAAAAAATCACTTTTGTTAAAAATAGAATTCACTGTTGTCCATCTCATAGCATTCTACTACTATATTACCATCTGTAACATCGACTTTTCAAATATATATGAAGTTAAATATGTATCAAGTTAAATGTCATCATCACATCTTGAAATCAATATTGTTTGTTGGAAATATATCCAAATTACACTTCATGGGACGTGCTTAGCACGACCCTTAACCTTGCTAGTGTTATTATGAAATATTACATCAGTTAAGATGTTAAGGGACAGAAAGAGTAAATTACACGAATGGTCCCTATGGTTAGGGGTAATTTGCGCGTTTAGTCCCTAACTTATTTTTTTTAACTCGGAAGGTCTTTACTGTTTGTTTTTGTTACACGCTTGGTCCCTCATGTTTGTTTTTATTACGAGTTTGGTCCATATTTTACCTAAAAATACTATAATTTAAATAGGGAAAAATGGTGGGTGGATAAGGTAAGGTGAAGGGGATGGGTGTGGGGGTGTATTTAGTTAAATAAATTAAAAAATCAAGGGTAAAATAGTCTTTTTAGGTAAGACGGGGACCAAGCGCGTAACAAAAACAAACAGTAAGGACCTTCCGAGTTAGAAAAATAAGTTAGGGACCAAACGCGCAAATTACCCTAAACCATAGGGACCATTCGTCCAAAACAATGTGCACACTGCACAGTTTGCAAATTTGTTATTTTGAAAGGGAAATATGTCATGAAAACATATATGTATTAAGTCCACCTTGTACAATCTACAAATCCAATGGTCTTGTATACAGACATCGTAGTTATTATATACATCAACAACAAGAACGTTATCTAAGTCCCATATAAATAGGGTAAAAGAGGGGTATGATGGTCAAGAGCCACTACCATAGGTACGAAACTGTTTCCATAAAAAACTTTCAACAAAACAAAAGAAAAAAACAAATACAAATGCAAATAAATAAAATAAAAATAGATGTTTATAAAATTTTCTTTTACATAACAGCCACCACTTCCGTAGTAAGCCATGCCGGCTTACGACTTACTTCTTAGATTTGCTTCCAATACTTGTGTTCTTATTCGTGTTATACTTGTTGATGTTTATTCTGTTGTTTTTGTTTAATTTTGTAGTGATATTTGCAATTTATTTATTTGATGGTGTTATTTATATTATAAGCCCTCTTACTTTTATATATATTTGTCAA